GTCTTCCTCTTTTATGCTGACTTTCTATTTTACCAAGCATGGTGTCCTTCTCCAGGGACTGATCCTTCCTGATAATATGTCTGAAGTATGAGATGAAGTCTCGCCATTCTGGCTTCTAAGCATTCTGGCTGCACTTTTTCCAACACAGATTGGTTTGTTCTTCTGGCAGTCCATGGTACTTTGAACATTCTTCTCCAACACTATAACCCAAATGCATTCATTCTCCTACCATCTTCCATATCCGTTGTCCGTGTTTCGTATGCATGTGAGGTTATTGAAAATACCATGGCTTGGGGTCAGGTGCATCTTATTCCTCAAACTGACATCTTTGTTCTTGAACACTTTTAAGAGGTCTTGTGCAGCTGATTTGCATAATGCAGTATGTCGTTTGCTTTCTTGACTGCTGCTTCCATGAATATTGATTGTAGATTCAAGCCAAATGAAGTCTTTGACAACTTCAATCTTTTCTCCATGTATTTTTTAATGTTTTATTGTGAATTATGTGATAATTTACATGAGAAAACATTAGCTTTACATTCATCCTGTCATATATCGTTTCATTGCAATGATTACAATCCGCTCCATGCATCATCAAACAAACAGAGGATACACCCCACAGGTCTGTCCCCCAGCCGTCAGCACACAGCTCCTCTTCCTCCCTGAGTCCGGAGTCCCCAGCCACTCCATCTCTCTATGGCATCGTCTCTTCCTCCATCTCTGGCGTCACTGCTTCTCTGGATAGGATCCCACACTCTGTTCTTCTCCCTTGATGGTCCCAGGGACCTCCACTCCTGGACTGCAAAATCAACCACTCCCCTCCTTTTGTTACAAAATATCCACCTTTACATTTCCAACACTCACAGTCAGTCCTGATAACAATTATTCGCTATTGAACCATAAGAGTCTTATCCCCATCAGCCCCATCCAGACAGGTTGGAAACAACTCAGTGGAGATTCTACCTTCCTTTGCACCCTCTGGAACTAGGCTCCCTCTTGAAAGTTTGTAAGCCAGTCACTTCTTGCCTTTGTAGCGCCCCCATTTGGGGTAGCCAATGTCTAAGTTGCCCATCCCTGTCAACCCTGTGTACCGAAGGGGTGGGAATGATCCTTGCTGTAAAGATTTATTCCCTCTTTTGAGCTACTGCATCCGTAGGTGTAGGTCGAGTTCATCATCAGATTGTATCAGATTACTCTTTTTTTTTTCTCTCTCTCTCTCTCTTTTCTTATTTTAGTTGAGTTCTAATCTTCCAGCCATTGAAGCCAGGTCCATTGGGTAATATCTGCAAGTGTAGGTGTTCTTGTGCATCTCCCCTCACTTCATATCAGCTGGACGCTTCACTCTCCGCTCTAGTCCTCTGTGGCCATGTTCTTGTCTCTGGGCTGAGGAGTCCCCAGGTCTTGCTATAGTGCTGGTCAACCAGGTCTCAACCCAGTTGACAGGAGTCTATTGAACATAGTCAGACTTAGCCACAACTTCATTGCTGTTTTTCCCCGACTTCCGCTTATCAGTTACCAACATGGTCATTCTCCATGTAATTTGATGGTACTTTTTAGTGTAGTTTGAGGATCTTTGTTTTCTTTACATTGAGGTACAACCCATACTGACAGCTGTAGTCTCTGATTTTCATCAGTAAGCATTTCAAGTCCTCTTTGCTTTCAACAAACAAGGCTGTATCATCTGCATATTGCAGGTTGTTAATGAGTCTTCCTCGAATCCGGATGCCACATTCTTCTTCATAGAATTCAGCTTCTTGGAATATTTGCTCAGCATACAAATTGAATAAGTATATTGAAAGAGTACAACCCTGACACACACCTTTCCTGATTTTCAGCCATTCAGTATCCATTCAGTATCCCCTTGTTTGGTTCGAACAACTGCCTCTTGGACTGTGTGCAGGTCGAGCACAATAGAGTGTTCTGGAATACCCATCCTCCTTAGTGTTGTCCATAGCTTGTCATGATCCACACAGTTGAAAGCCTGTGCCCAGTCAGCAAAGCACAAGTAAACATCTTTCTGGTATTTTCTGCTTTCAGCCAAGATCCCACTGATGTCAGCAATGATATATTTGAATGATTTGCAATTGTTGTTAACTGCTGTTGAGTTGGTTCCAATGCATATCTCCCCTGTATAGGGGTTCTGAGGAGTGACTGGTGACCACTGACCTTGTGGTTTAACCCGACCTTGCCGTCCAGTGCTTTATCCTACAGTGTCACTTGACAAACAATTCCTGCATTAGATACAGGAAGCCCCAAGGAAAATCTATAGACTTTCCAAGCCCCACAATTCATCTTTCTACTTATCCAGGATGGAACGAGTCCTGAATCCTTCTACTTTTCAACCAAAACCAAGCCCCCTGCCTTCAGGTTGGTTCTGACTCACAGGTACCCTATTGGACAGAGTAAAACTGCCCTTTATGAGACTAAATACAGAAGCCAACTGCCCACCTCATCTTTCTCCTGTGAAGTCAGCAGCTAGTGGATTCGAGCCACCTTTCTGCTAGTAGCCCAGCACTTAACCCATGGCACCACCAGGCTCCTTCTCAGATAGAACAGGCTAAGAATGGTCCTCATCAGCTACTTTAATTACGAAGTCAGAATTCTACACCTGTGTTTTACTGTCTGAACAAAGCGAGTATAGGAACACCTCCGATCCCTTGAAATGAGGTCCTCAGCCAGTCCCCTTGCAAATGTTTGGAAGGATCAGATCTTGGTGTGATTCTGCCCGGGAGGATACCTTCCTGCCACCAGCTGTCTGGGTGTACCTCTCTTTCCTTCAAGACTCCCAGCCAGCCCCACCTCTTCCCTGATGGACCCTGTCCACGAAGCCTCACCTTTCCCTGGACAGACTTCAGTCCTGGCACCTGAAGCTCCTGTATGTCCTTCTCTCACCCTGGACTCTGGCCTGGGAGTCTCATCCCTCCTGCCCAGCACTAAGGAGATAAGAAATGAACAACTGAATGAATGAATGAGTCGCTCACATCGGAAACCTTGGGGTCACCTTGGCTCTTCTCTGCAAGCCCCACAATTCATCTTCTGCATGTCTAGGGTGGAATGAGTCCCCGAACCTCCCACTTCTCAGCTGTTCATCAGATGGGCTTGGTGCTGTTATGAAACTCAAAGTCAACAGCAACCAATGCAAACACTTCCCCATGGCATGGGTGTACCCATGGCCGGGGAGGGCCCTGTTGGATACAGACCTGCTTGTTTTACACCTAACAAGCTGCGGGGCCCAGAGGAACCATGTGCTGTGGTCCGGCCGGCTGAGGAGATGTTGGAAAACTAAACAGTGGAGATGCCAGAGAATGCACATTGACTTTGCTTCCTCTTGGAAATACCAACAGAGCTGAGAAGTAGGGATCAGGTGTTTTAAAAAAACCACCACCACCGAAACATCCCACTTCACAGAGTGGATCTCATGGATTGACTTACTATCATGACCATTGGCAAATGCAATCTGTGATGTTTTATCTCGGTGGGGCACCCCCCGGGTGTCTCCTTCGTCCCTGCCTTAACCTTAACTCATTCCTAAAGAATGCCAGTCTGGCTGGAGTCTAATTCTTGGTAGAATTAGAAGGCGGCCTTCTTGTCGGAGTGGGATTTTTCTTTTTTTAACAGTAAGACTTTACTTGCTCAAGGCCTTACTGACACCCTACTCCTTTAGAGATGTCACTGAGGGGTCTGGCTGTGGCCCTTGGCTCTGGCTGTCCTTGTGGGTGAACACGGCATGTCTTGACCCATCAGTGGGAATCTTGATTGCTTCTTATTCTTGAGACCCCTCTCCAAACCCTGATGCCATGTTCCTTCAGTTGGTAAAGTTCTGACTTCTCTCACCCTTCCCTGATTTCTCCTTTGAATCTTATCTTGGATGAAACGATGCTATTCTTTCTTTTATGTGTAAATAACTAAACAGAGTACTTGCTAGCTACTGTGTTGGTTTCAGATTTGTAAATCTCCATGTCTCCAGGGAAGAGAAAGTGCATCTTAACCTCTTAGTGTGCCTGTGTCGACCCCACTTTTTCTTGAACATTCCTGGGAAATTCTGCATGTTCTACAACCAGAGACACCTTCAGCAGTCCCACCAGAGCGTTGGACAGGGAGGACAGACCCAGTCTTCTCTGGGGGTCACAACCCACCCCAGCTCTGTGAGTGTAAGTGTCTGCTTCTGAATGAGGGTCGGAGGAGCTGGTTACTCTCCAGGTGTTTGGACGCAATCCCACACAACATGCACCCAGGGACATTTACTGGTGAATCTATAGGACTGAGAGCCACATAGGGTTGCAGAGTGACTGGATAAGGAAGGTCTCTGGGTACACACAGTTTTATGAACACATACAATTCTGAAATGTGCCCTCTGTGAGTATCCTTGTGATTAGGAACACGTACTTAACATTGACAAAGCCGTTCACATTCATTGTGTTTTGGCCAGTGAGTATTTTCACACTCAGAGGCCACTGAACGTGCATTATGATCACATTGTTGCCCATGGCATTTTCCAGCTTTAGGAAGGAGACCCTGGAGAAGCTGAGCATCCCTGGTCTCCAGCGGCTGTAGACAGGGCTGAGAGCTCCTGCTCTCCAAATGCTCAGGGACAGCTGGGAGATGTCCTTGACCTAGAGGCATCGAGACTTCTCTGTGCATAAGATGCCCCTGGGCCCCCGGGTGACACAGAAGCATATTTGTAACACCACCTTGGTACTTCTGCCAGGAAACCATGACTTATGAAATACCTAGAGACAGTTCTCCATGAAGTAGGGCAGATACCAACCTTGATCTTCATGCTTCCCTTAAGCTGTCGTCAAGATCAACTCTGCAGGCCTGTCAGTCCATCCATACAACCTGGTGTGGTGTCTGAACCTCTGTGGAGCCTGCATTGTTTGTAACAACCTGTGGTTTAGAGGGAGGATTAGTATCAGTGCACTGGCTGAGTTTACCAGAAAGTTCTCCCAGAAATGTGCTACCTTCCTACCTTCTGAAATAATTCCTTTTCCTGTCTTTTCCAGATAACCTGTTCAAGCCCAAAGAAAGGTGCATCTCAGAAAAGGAGATGTACACGAGATCTAAAAGGTATCCTGTCCCATGGCGCCAAGTGTCTGCGGATGGCAGGGCACAGCCCCAGGGAGTCCAGCCCCAGCCAGGACATGGGGCTGACTGTCTCTTTACTGAAGGAGGAGGAGGAACAGGGGTTAATGAGCACAGCGTGAGGTAACCTGGGTGGCCTGGCATACCGTGGGCACCCCCTGGTCTGAGTATATGCTGGATGAGGTAACCCAGTATTTCTAGGTCCGTGTTTAAGGTCGGAGGTCTTCTTGGGCACCCATCTGAAAACCTAACTAAAAGAATTTATACCTCTGAGTGTGAATGCTGCCCTGGAAACATGCTTAGGAAAGTGGTGGTAGGTCTCCGATTCTGAACCAGATTCCCAGATTCTCAACCTCCTGCGCCTTCTCAGCCTGGCTGTGGGCAGGTGCTCCATGCGACATGGAGGCTAATTATATGAGAGCAAGAGGCAGTGTTTCTCCTGAGGGTCTTGGCTGTGGCGGGACCTGAGGAAAGGGGTCTGAATTTGGAAGCTGATGGCATGTGGGAGCCAGTGAGGGCACTCAGACCAGGGGGTGCCCATGGTGTACCAGGTATCCCATATCACCTCACCCAGTGTTCCCTCAGACCAGGGGGGCCCACGGTGTTTACCAGGTACCCCATGTCACCTCATCCAGCGTTCCCTCAGACCAGTGGGGGCCCACAGTGTTTACCAGGTACCCCATGTCACCTCACCCAGCGTTCCCTCAGACCAGGGGGGCCCACGGTGTTTACCAGGCACACAACACACGTGAAGGCATAGTCAGTTCCCAGACTCCATGTTTGCTTTTTTGCTGCATGATTGGAAGATGGTGTTAAGCAGTGATTAAAAGTCAAACAGACCAAGGTTTAAATCCCAGCCCACCATGAACCATCAAAGGAATGAGGCTTTTGCCCCAGACCCACCAGCCTCTTAGAATTGTAAAGGTTAAACAAACAAGCCCATTCACACCTCAGATCGCCCTGTTCTAACTCTTTGTCATTAGGGTTTGAGCAGATGGAATCTGGCTTTCAAGGAGCTGTGGTAGCATAATGGTTACATTACTACCAGTGGTTCGGCAGGAGAAAGATGAGGCTTTCTGCTCCTGTAGAGATTTACAGCCTCAGAAACCCTACACAGGGTCACTATGGGTCAGAACCGACTCCACAGCACACCACCACCACCAATCTGGCTTCCTGACAGGAGGAAGAGTGAGAAAAAGATGTTTGAGTGGAGCGCACAGCTGCCCCAAAGGGCTGCTCCAGTGACTGTACTTTGTCAATGAGTCGCTGCAGAAACGCTGAGTGGTGTTGGTGCCTGAACAGATCCTGTTAGGAAACAATCACCAAGCAGAAGGTCCCATGGGTCCTGCTTGTAACTAGTTATTGTTAAGTGCCATTAAGTCGGTTCCAACCCATAACAACCCTGTATAGGGTTTCCGAGGCTGTAAATCTTTACGGGAGCAGAAAGCCTCATCTTTCTCCCACAGAACAGCTGGTAGTTTCAAACTGCTGACCTTGAAGTTAGCAGCCCGACTCATAGCGACCCTGTATAGGGTTTCCAAGGAGCAGCTGGTTTGAACCACTGACCTTGCGGTTAGCAACACAGTACTCACCCGACAGTGTCAAGCCAGGACTCCATTTGTAACTTCTTGTTGCTGTTAAGTGCTATGGAGTTAATTCCAACTCAGAGCAACCCACATACGGTTCAGCTGGTGGGTTTGAACCACCAACCTTGTGCTTCACAGTCCAGTGCTGACCCTATAGCACCACACCAGGAGTTTGTAACTTGGCAACTCCTGATTTACATGGAGATGCAAACCTGTACCTGCGGTCTTGTTGGAAGCCCTGTAATAAGGAACACAGCAGTATGTTAAGGGGTAAAAACCCGCACATGCTCAGACACGTGTGCTATCCCTGTAGGATTTCTACTGCTCCTTTTCCCAGTCATGAGAAGGCTCAATTGAGTGGCAAACAGGTAGTTTTAAGGAGACTTTATTTTTAGAGCTCTTTTAGGTTTACAGAACAAATCGTGAGGCAAGTACCCAACGTTCCTTCACCCACTGTGCGCCAGGCTGGTGTGTGGCCCCTTCTCCCCAGCCCCTTCATTCATGAAACAGCAGGGATTCCTCATCACTCCCCAAGGTCCACCACTTACATCGGGGTGCCCTCTGTGTGGCACGGCCCTGTGGGTGGTCATGTCCTGTGTCCACCGCTAACACACCATGCACAATACTGGCACTTGTCCTGGGAAACTCTCAGAGACAGGACATTTTCAATAAGGCATCCGGGGACAAGGAAAAGCCTCAGAATGGCAAAGTGGGGGCTTGGGATCCCTCCTTCTGCGAGTCTGTGGTTCATGATCCTGGCGACACAAGTGTCCCGTGTCTCTGCCGACTGGACAGCTGTTGCCCCAGGAGGTCTGGTACCTGTCCTTGTGGCTTCCGAGGAAGCGCTTAGTGTTGGCTTCTCCCCTTAACGTTCTTCCTCCAGAAGTGTAAGCGCGGCTGAGGAGGCACAGGATGCATCACATCCCTCACGCCGCCGCTCAGAACTCTTTCTGGATCTCTTTCAGAATCTACAATAACTTGCCAGAAGTTAAAAAGAAAAAAGAAGAACAAAAGAAAAAAGTAGCCTTGCAGAGTAACCGACTCCGCGTCCAAGTTTTCAAAAAGGTAAGGGCTGGGCCGCCGCAGGTGTGAGGGGTGCGGTCCCGGGCCTGGGTCCTACAGTGACATCTGTCTTCTCATGTCTCCAGCAACTACTGGACCAGCTCCTCCAAAGGAACGCGGTCTAGCGCAGCGTGCCCAGCTGGCCGCACCGCGGGGCCTGGTATGGCTGCAGACCCCGGACCAGCCAGTAAACCAAACGCTATCCTCACTCCACAAAAACACTTCCTCTACTTTTGATTTCCATTTTTGCTTTTTCATAAAGGAAAACTTAGCTTCCCGTTTTACCTGCCCAGAGCACACAATGGCAGTAACCCTGCAAGGAAGCGCTGAGCCAATCCCTGCCTGATGTGAGAAAGCACCCTCGCACGTCCGTTCCGTCCGAATTTTACCCTTGGCAGCTGAACTTTTGTGTTTTCACTCCTGTTTCCAACCAGGCTTAGATCCCTAGGGAACATTTTTTTATCTAGTTCTTGGGCCTAAAATACATCACTTTTTAAACACCAGTCCCAAACCCCAGATTTCAGGGTGTTTTCCCCACAGGATACTAGGAGCAGATTTCAGAAGTGACTGGGGGCTCTGACAGAGACCACATATCAGGGGTCAGCATCTTTGGTTAGAGGGCTCCCACCCCCAACCCCCAGGTACCTTTAATAGAGCATCGAGGGAAGAATTGGCCGGATAAAGTGCAGGCAAGGACAGTGTTTTCAGGACACTCAGCACACACAGCTTCCCCTGCACCCCCCCCACCCTACGCCCCACAAAGCTGAGATGCTGTAAAGTGGCCAGCTGGCTCCCAGTCTGTTCATTGAAACTGTCACATGTCCACTCTTGATCAGCGTGTGCTTGGGGAGTAAGAACAAACCAATGTTAAACAACAAAAATGGAAATAAACATTATTACACAAGCAAAGGCCTATGTGTTTGACTTCACTGTATGGTCAGAGCTGCCGCTAGGGATCATACTTGACCACTGACCTCTGTCCTCCTCCACCCTCCGCCCTCCCAGGCCAAGCAGTTCTATGCTTCCAGATGTACCGATCTGGCCACTGGACAAGCTGGTGTTGAAGCAGCAGCCATCTAGGAAAGCTATCCATTCTCCTGTGTTGTCTCAGGTCAGAGTCCTGGTGTGGCACTGTAGGATCAGCCCTGGACAATGAACCACAAGGTCAGCAGTTCAAACCCACTGACAACTCCTCAGAAACCCTACACAGGGTCTCTATGAGTCGGAACCAAATGTATGGCCCTAAACAACAACAGCACCTCTCAGCAAAGCTCAACCCAGTGCAGCTGGCAAAGGGAGAATACTCGGGTATGAAGGGCCTGGATCCATTTTAACAGAGTCAGCAAAAAAGGGTGACGTCAGCTGGGAAATCAGGTCGGTAACCGGTGCAGCCAATTGCTGAAGCCGCCTCATTTTTCTCATCTATAAAATGGGGATCCCTCCTTCGAAGGCTTGTTGATGTTGGTTGCTGCTCGCTTGTCCAGCCCCATACCACCTTCCCATCTCCCAGCACTGTATCATACATACAGTGTCTGTCTCTGTGATCGCCAGGCCTTTCTTCCTCGTCTGAAGCCTGTCCACCATGGCTGACCCTGCTGGTATTTGAAATACTGGTGGCATGGCCTCCAACATCTCAGCAACATGCAAACCAGCCGAGTACAGCAGTGACAGACAGGTGGTGGGTGGAGCTGTTATGGGAATCTAAGGAATCACCGTGTGCTGAAAAGAACGTTGTTGTTGTTGTATATCATTGTCAATTCCGGCTCATAGTGACCCAATAGGGCAGAGTAGAGGCACCCACAGACCCTCCAATGCTGTCATCATAATGACGGGAGAACATCTTGAGATCTTGTCTCCTGTGAGCTATTGGTGGGTTTGAATCACCTGATTATCAACCGACTCACTGGCACTTAACAACAACAACAACAACCAATAATTACAATTCAAGACCTGACTCCTTCTAGACTATTTGGAGCCACTTTTCCGGAAGAGAACACATGCCAGTAGACACACCGAAATCTCAGGGAGGCTGCTTGAAGGGAGCCAACATTCACAAACACCTATGAAGAGCCTACCCCTTTTGCAAACTTGATACGAAGTCTTAAAATCTAAAGAATAAATCAAAGTCAGTGTGAGTGTGAACAAGACGGAGTGGTGCTTTCTCCTGAGACTGTTCTAACTTAGACCCCTGAGGTGAGCAAAGAGGCAGCGAGTTAGAAAGTCTGCTGCAAGTGGTCTCATCTCTGGAAATCCCCCTGAAGTTTGGGTTTCTGTCATGTGTGTGTGTGTTGCCCCTGTTGTTTGGTTTTCAGGGCAGATGAGTGGATTTCATGATCGTGCAGGCCTTTTTGTCCATAATAAGACTCTCACAGAAATACAATGTTGTAACAAACCTGGCTCTGCAGGCTGGGGATCATTAGCAACTGTCATCCATCATATTTCTCTCAGGAATTGGGCCATTTCCTGCATTCTCTTATTAAAATCAGACTCCAGGAAAGACACTGAGGCTCTTGAAAGTTCTTAATAGAATTTGCCACTGTCACATCAATAATATGTCTGACTGTGTGGGTGGATGGGTGGGGGCTGGCATGAGAACAGTCTTCCAAGGGTGCAGCAGGTACCGGCGGCCTTCAAGGTGACCGTGAGTCCCACAGGGAATGTTTGGTAGTGGGCATGGCTGCCACGCGGTCATCTCTCCAACGTCAAGTCCAAGGAGAAATGCCTATTTCAGTGACTTGTCCTCCCCGCCAGCTGGTAGCAGAATAATGGAAAAGCAACTGCCTCAGGAGTCCCATCCGAATCTCCTGCCAACCAGGTTTCCTGGAAGTTGTGTTCCCGAATGAGTCAGCGAATGCTCGCCCAGACGGGGGAGGCTCTAGGAAGAGCCAGCTGGCCTGCAGTGGCCGAGAACTTTGTCAAAGAGTTCTCCTATTTCCACACTCGGAGTAAAGATTGCAGGCCCTGGGCTTGGTCCCTGGTGGCCCCAGATGCCTGCTCTCTGTGTCTGAGGCGTGTCAGATGCAGGGTGACAAGGATGAGAGTTAACCGGATAGTTGTCTCCTCAGAGTTCTGGCTTTGTGTGATGGGCAGAGGGTGGTTTTATCCACTAAGAGCAAAGCAGACGGTCTACACAGTTGGGGTGAGAAGGCCGACTCACCTTAAACAGCTTGTCACATTTGTGTTCTTATCAACACATGGTCAGGAATTCCCCAACAACATCCTGCACTTGTGGGAACCCTCTGGAATGGGCGACCACAAGTCTCTCCGGTGTGTCAGAGCTGACGGGCAGTGTCCAGCTGTCTGAGAGCTGCAGAGAACCCGAAAACCCCACACGCATCCCCAGCTCCCCTCTCAGCCAGTCTGCTGGGCAACCCCTCACACAGATGTTTTTTCCACATGAGGCAACAACTTTGGTAAGCGTCCCCCAGAATGGAAGGTTTGGTTTGGTTTTCCCAGTGACGTTGGCCGCCTCAGGCACAGTTCTGATCCTGAGACCCTGAGAGACTGTGTGAGTGGCTGTCTAGGGGGTTCTGGGATGCAGGCAGCCTCGGGGTTCCACTTAGTAGGGACTCCGGGAGACGGGGTGCTGTGAAGGATCCCTGGTGGAGCAGTTGGTTAAGTGTTGTGTGGTGCTACAGGATAAGCAGGGGCTTATCTGAAGAACTGAAAGAGCAGCTCAAACCTAGCAGTCACTCTTGGGTATCACAAACAGGGTCGCTATGAATTGGAACCGGCTCGACAGCATACAGCAGCAGCAACTAACTGAAGGTCTGGTGGTTCGAATCCACCAGTCACTCAGAGAAAGAAAGACGTCCCAGTAAAGGTTACAGCCGATGGGACAGTTTTACTTTGTACTATGGGGTTGCTATGAGTTGGGATCAATGATGGGTTTGGCAGGGAGGGAGGTAATCGTTTTCCAATTCAGATAAAAATGGAATATTATAATAATATCAAAGACACTCTTAAAAGTTCCTAGGTGCCATCTTTTTTTTTTAATGTTTTATTGTGAATTATGTGATGGTTTACATGGGAGAACATTAGCCTCACATTCATCCTATCGTATATTGTTTCATTGTCATGGTTACAATCCCCTTCATGCATCATCATCCACCCAAAGGATATACCCTGCAAGCCTGCCCCCC